GCTACATGAGTGAGCACGTAGCTAAAAATTGGCTCCAAAAAGTTTTGAAAAGTTATCTCTACATATTCATGGACAATTGCTCACACCCAGACATGTGTCTCTCTCCTCACCTTTTGGCACCTCATTAATTTCTCTTTCCACCTCTTGGCTTTGGAGCCTTCCTGAGCAGCGCTCATTTGGAGCAGCGCTGCTTCAGTTCACATCTCTGTGGATTCACCCATGTTAATTTTACTGGCCTTTTCCTTTCATTTGATTTCTTTGTTTTCAGCATACAATGAAAAACAGCAATTCTCTCCAAACTGTGTAAGGAAAGCAAATATTATTTTATATTTGTTGTTAAGAGGACCCTCTCAGCCTGTTACCTCCAGTTGAAAAATCTAAACTTAGACAAATATAATCAAAGACTGGTATGGAAATATGTAGATGGTACAGATTACAGTTCAGAATCTCTGTTCCATGGGTAATTTCCTAATGCCATCTAGCTCTAATAAGTCAGTTTAAACAGTTGCCTACTAGAAAATAAAAGCCTGTAGCTGTGTGTTTCTGCTGGTGTAAACCAACAGAGTTCTGGGAAGTAAATAAAAGCCAGATGATTTATACTGTCTGAAGACCTAGAAAATAAGTGTACATTTTGCTCTTAACATATAAAACGAAGCATATGGCATTGTTTTACTTAAGTCAATTACCTAATTAAACTGATTTAGTAATTACATTTAGCAAGCTGAAAAAATGACTGTCCTGTGTTGATATTACTTGTATTCTAACTTTATTACTGTTTAAAAAGCAGTTAAAATCAGTAGCTATTTAGATGCAACCAAAATCTCAGTGGTTTGTGTAATGTAATGAAGGCTTTTGTGAAATAAAAGTGCAAGTGCTGATTTAATGTTATTCTCATAGAAAATGTAGTCGATGGTATTTGTAAAAGGAAATAATGCAAGAAATAAAACTGTATTCTATTTCATGGTCATAAAGTGAGCACTTCTGGGGAAGACAAAAGAGCTGCAAAAAAGGCGAGCGAAGCAAGAGGATTTTATTAGCAGTGTTAGATGCATGTTTGTGGTCTTTGTCTTGTTAGTTTGCATTTCGGTGATTGCCAGTGATCTGACCATGTGCTGTGCATTAAACATTATAGTTGATAAATGAGTCTATGAAATCTATATCTGCTAATATAACGAAAAAAGAGTCCTGAGAGTTAACTCAATATGACCAAAGGAAGTAATGTTATTTGGAAGCGCCCCATCACCATCTGCTTCACATCTGGGTGAGCAGATTGGTGACTGGTTCCCAAAAAAAACAAACAGGCTGACAGATGTGTGGACTTGGAGATTCTTTCCATGACTTGCCTTTCCTGCTGTATTTATTCAGGGCTGCAGACATCGCACAGATTTAGCATTCACCTTCTACTCCTGTAATGCCATTTAAATAGTAATGGTGCCCTCACTGCTACTTCGTGACCTGTTGCTTTGCAAGCAAAAGGGTAGCAAAGCTGATCCTAACTTTTCATGGTGGTTTGTGTTGGCTTCTTTGAACTTCGAGTAACATAAGTACTTGGTAGACTACAGGCAAAGGGAAAAGTACCAGAACAGCTTAATATCTGAGATTTGCACTACATAAGGTAGAACTGTATCAGGGCAAAACAGGAAAAATTGTTTGTATATGGTTGGCGATTGTGTACAAATCTTCAAACCAGTAACCAGATTAATAATGCTCATAAACAGAAAGATCATACAAAAAATAAAAGTTCAGTAAAGATGCAACTCCTTTGTTCCAGAGGATGAGTCTGATTCAGGAAATTCTACTAGCTGGTATCTAACAGAAAAGGGTGCATTTCAATAACTCTGTGCCTGTGAAGTGTGAACACAATACATTTTAGCTATTCTTTTTTCTTAAAGAATAATCATTACTGTTACTGCTAGCTTCTCTATCCCTGTTCCCATTGACTTCAGTAAATCTGGAAGGTAAATAACAATGCTAGTTAGCTTAGTGAAACAGAATTCTTAGAGCAAAAATGTACTGTCAACTTTATTTACATGGAATAGTCAAGCAAGATTGCAAAAGAATATTAGTATGTTTTTTCTTAAAGAGGGGAAAGTGTCTTATTTTGGAATTCTCTAATGCTTTTGAAAACTCATTTAGTCTTATAACAACAGGTTTTGGGCACCTCCCACACAAACACAAGATACAATTGGAGATCTGAAAATTCTGCATCTACCTTTGCATTATGATACTGACTTTGTTGTAAACATTGGAAAGAAATTAACATACATATAAAAATAGGTCAGAAAGGTAAATTAGGAAATTCATTATTTTGTTGCTAGGCATTTAGATTTTTTAAACTTAGTATTTGCTACAGTAATTCATTCAGAGCTATTATGATCTGTCATGCTGGTCTATGCTGATGGACTTCTTAGTGCCAAATGTTGCCTTGTAGATCTTAATGTTTCCTTCATAGCCATTAAAATCAATTGTCTCCATGATTATCTGAAGTCCAGGGAAAAAGATAATGCTGTGGTTCTGTAATTAAATTGCTAAGCAAAATATCTATTTATAAGTGGCTTGTATTCAAAACAGTCTAAGATATTAAAACCATATTTGTAGCTAACTGCTTACTCAGTTCAGTTTCAAAAAAAAAAAAACCCTCCTGATTTTTTTTGTTCTATTGTCAAAAGCAACAATATCAGAAAACATTTTCTCATAGTATTTATTTTATGGCAAGTTCACACACTAGTGGTCTGTAGGAGGAGATGGCTAGGCTGAAGACCTTGCTAATTTAAGTTGTTCCTCATGTAACAGCTAAAAATGACATACCATGTGAAAGAGTCAGTAGGATAAATGGCAGGAGGTGAGAAGCAGCCAATGTAAGACATCACACAACCTTATTTTAGATGTTCCCTACATGTTAGTATTAGCCATGAGGTGCATATAACTGCTGAAACCAGGCTAGCAATCAAAGGCTGAGGAAAAGGAACAGGTTTTAAGAAGGCATCTGAAGGATACAACTTGGTCAATTTGAGCATCAAAATATATGCCTACCCGGTACATGGCTTAGGCTGCTGCCAGGAATTAAAAGAGAAGACTAAGCTTCGGAGAAAATAAGGTTATAGTGGAGGAGAGGGGAAGGCAACCTGGAGGTACTGGACAGAATTGCTTTTGGTCTGACTAGAAGGGAGTTTGACTGCCATCTGTTATGTTCACCAGACTGGAGTCTGATTATATTCATGCTGATTAGCAAAAGCAAATCAGCTGACAAATTTGGGCAGCCTTTTCATTTATGTCAGACTGGTGGCTCTGAACTTTCTTTAGTGTCAGTCACATCCTCAGGATTCTTGCCTGTGTCTACTGTTCTCTCTGGTCTAGTGCTGCACCCTGGTCCCAAGCAAACATGAATGAGCTGCTTCACTGCAGGCATTCTGCACTGATGCTTTCCGAGCTCTGCTGCCTGCCCATGGGGTTCTGGCTGCATTAGGTCCTGTACTGAACAGAAATAATTCCATACCTATATGATTGGTTTTGCAGCTCACATGGTCAACTTAAAGCCTGTGGTCACCTTAAGGCTTGGTCCGTTATAATCTTTTACTTAGTGGATCTGTGTATTAAAACCTGAGCACTCCCTTTTAAAATTCAGTGATAATGCTGCAGATTTGGTCCCCTTGTGTGTCAGCAAACATAGGGCTATTCTTCATCCTCAGCCTATGGAAGAGCTTAATGCTAAAGTCAAGGACATGAAAGGAAGGGGCAGAAAGGTTGTCAGCAATTACTTCTGAGTAGGGAAATGGTATTGACATAACACTGCATTAACTGTTACTCTTCTCCGTACAGTTTTTATTTTAAGTTAAAAAAAAAAAAAGTGGGTCTAACTAGAAAATTTCAGAAAAAAAAAATCCTTATTTTGAGTGTTCTTACATGTGGGTCTAACTAGCAAATTTCAGAAAAAAAAAAATCCTTATTTTGAGTGTTCTTACAGAAAAGGGACTTTGTGCAGCTATAGTATTGCCTGTTTTACATATCCCAGTGAAGTGAAGGGAAGGACAAATCTTTTGTAATGTGACTGTCTTTTGTTAAATACTTGAAAGGAAAATGTCTGTGTAGTAGAAGAATGAAATGCCATCTCACAACACTGCTGTAAATTGTATATTGATTTTTAGTTCCAGAGCACTAATTAATCTCATTGAGTGAGCAGCTTTAATCTACTTGCAGACCTGGCCTAAGATTGGGCAGTTTTGCTTCTATTCTTAATTCTACCTCTCGATTGTGGAATAATTTTGGAAAGAATGGCACTTCTGTGTCTCTTTAAAAACAAAAATATAATGTACTTTCAGCTCTGGTTTATAGCTGTCTATATGAGTATATGCAACAAATGGTGTGTATTTATTATCAAGGTTCTTACAGAGAAATGGCATAGTGGAAACCTCATGAGGGTACAGGGACTTAGAGTGCTCCAAAATAAATGTGACTTGAGAGGAGCAAGCAGTTAGGAGTTGTTTCCTGTCATGTGAGGTTCCAGTTCAAGTGCCAGTCAACTTGCTGACACAGACTAAGCTTTAATCAGGTAATTCAGAGAAATTGGAAGGAGATATCTGTGAAGACGCTTTCAAATCTTGTGACTATCATTGTGCATTTACAAGCAACTGTAGGGACTCTGGGTAAAAATTAAACCCTATGTGGAAACAAAGACTGAAACAAAATGTGTTGAGAGGTTGAACAGTGTTGTAAAAACTGCAACCATTTCACCCAAATACTGCAATTCAAAACTTTTCTCCTTGATGGTTTGCTGTGACTATGACATGAGTTGCTCCTCTGTTCAGCACACCACAGTAATGTCTCCTTGCTGGTGGTGGGATCTGCTTTGCCTGGTGCCTGTGTAGACTTTTCCTGAAACAGTTTGAACTGTTTTGATGTGAGATATGCTGCAGAGCTCATGTCAGTGATATGTTCCAGGTCTTTCATTCCTTCCATGATAATTAGAGATAAAAGGAGCTTGGTAGGTTCATGAGCTACTTTTTGTTTGGTTGGTTTTCATAATGATGAGCTTATATTCCTGTTTTTATACTAAAGACAGTTTTCCTGTGCTTCATTTATCTGTTACATAAAGCAGAAGTTCAGCAACTATTACAATTTTTTTCCAATGGATATTGCTTCTGCTTTCTTTAGATGGGGAAGGGTTTGCTTTGCTTTTTGCTTCCTGCCCAAGTTTCCAACTATAATTAGAATTTAGTGCTTCAGTTCTTTTTCATATAGTACTACATGAGGTTTAGGAAACTATAACTGATCCGTAGTGTCCCTGACTGAATAGCTGAATGGTTGGGTGAATAGCTAGTTACTTGTACCTCTTCAGTACATGTCAGTATGTTGAAATAGGTGCTCATGAAATATTACAGAAGAACATTACTGGCAAAGGATTCTTGCCAGTGTGAGTCATTTTCTTACATCAATAGTAACAGAGAAAATCCAGGGAAATAAATTTTCTCTACTAGAGTGCACACAAAGAAGTAAAAATCTATTTACCTGAACAGAACGGGTTGTACTGAGGTGCTCTGGCCACTCTGCAGGCTTGCATATGCCCAAATCACAATAAGAAAGCAAATGTCAGATTAAAAATATTAGAAGTAGAGAAGTAAGGAGCTGGCTTCCTGACAACTGGTAAGATGCTGACTGTTGTTGTGAATCCCTCTGCCACAGCTCTTGCTTTGTCAGCTGCTGCCTCTGCTGTTGGTGAGGATGACTTGGCTAAAGTCACTTGAGATCCATGCTGGTGTGCCAGCATGCTCCAGTGCTTCTCATCTCCCAGGTTTATGGAGGCTCCCACCTCCAGCCAACCCTAGGCTGCAAAACAATGGTCCAGTGAGCACCCTTGGCCACTGAGTTAAGGCCATGGGGAATGGGATGTCCAAACTGGATGCTGGGGCTCTGTTCAGCTTCTCCATTTGCCCAAGGATGTGACTGGGATCCCTGGGAACAGCTGTGGGAGAACAGTGTCAAATGGATACAAACATGTGTTATACGGTACCCACTGACACTTGTCTTGTTATGCAAAATCCTTAGGATGGGTGGAAAGTTGGGGTAATTCTTCTGTGAAAAGCTAAGAGTAGTTTTGAAAGCTGTGACCTAAAAATCTTCTGCTTTCCTTATCTTAAAAAAAGACTTTAAAAAAATGAAACTGAACACTGAAGATCTGCACTGTGGAAGACAGGCATTTTAGTCAGGCTTTGTTGGTATCTAGGGTTTTATTTCTGTTAAAGTAAAATGTGAAGGGCATAACATTGACTAGACTACTACATTTATAATTTGAAATAGTTTCAATTTTTTACTGAAACTGACAATTTAAAAATTCTAATTTAACAAATCAATTTGAGACTGTCAGTTTCTCACAGTTATAATTAAGTAGATCTAAATTCATCCTTGAAATCTGTGGTGACGACTGACAGGGAAATCAGATACATTCAAGTCAAAGTAGGGAATAGAAACTCAAGCTGAGGAGGAGCTGTACAGTTTACCTTTCTACAAGTCTCCTCTTGTTTACTGGGGTTTCACACCACATAATCTATGATTCAGTCTCCCATCCACAAAACAGATACAAGAATTTTTTAATTTTGTCTCATTTCTTCTGTAAAACAGGAGACTTCTCCTGTCTGCATATACACTATTAGGGATTTTCACCTCAGCTGCATTATCAAAGTGCATCTTAATATAAAATCATTAAATATATTTTTAAGGTGAAAGTCTTTTTCACATCTGAAGTGAGGTGGCCATGCATGCACATGAAGAGGAATTATTTGTGAGAATTTTGAGGGGTAGGAAATGTGATTAAGAGCCATATTGTTTGTGAGTAAAAAGAGTCAGAAACATAAGGATAAGAAACCTGGCTCAGATGTGATTTATAAGTATTCAAATCAGGCTTAAACTAACCTACAGACAACAGAGGCGAAGTGCAAGTAGAAACTGCACTATGGAGAGTAGACAGCAAGGCAAGGAACAGCTTTGGAAAAATGAATGAAATAAGTTATGACTGCAAAGCCCTGTGGGGAGCTTGGCCAGCCAGGAAACAAAATCAGTCCTTGCAGTTTCCATTTTATTCCTGTTTAGCTTTGACAGAGGAAAGTATAATATATTAATATATAACTTTGTCTCCAATCTTATTGGGGTTTTTTTTGCATATCACTTCTTTAATTTTAATTGGAAAGTAAAATATGCGGAGTGTGCCCACTGGGCTAAGTGGTCAAAAACCTGGGTTGTTGTCTGACTTTGCAAGCTGAGAGGGGACTGTGGGGAATGTAAAATTTGCACCAACTTCAGTGAAGAATGACAGGAAAGAAAATCAGATGGGCAAGTCTGATAGATGAGTGGCAACTTGTATTTAGCACAGGAAGACAATAGGGTCTCTAAACAAGCTGCACTCTGTGTGGTCCTCCCTGAGGCTCCATGTTTCAGAATTAGTTTATTAAAGAGCGAGGTCACCATGATTAATTGTACAACCAGTGTAACTTCTTTGCTGTGCTGGATAATTACTGTTTTATGCTTCTGTTTGTAGTGGATGCAAAGGCAAGTGTTGCACAGGATAATGTGGCCGTTTCTTCCCCGAAGACAATGGAGCAGAGCCCCGTTCCCGAGGCGGGCGGGCAGAGTCTCGGGAGCGCTGCCAGGAGAGCTCTGCCATCTGCTAAATCCCGCTCTGTCTTCGCGTTTTCATGGGCTGTACCAGGGCGTACTGAAGATCCAGCTACAGATTCATCAGTTGGATCAGCAAAACTTGATGTCAGCTCAGAGACACCCGGAGTGAACAAAGCAGCAAGTGACAGCGTTGAGGTTCCTGCGGCAGCTGCACGAGAGGAAGGAGCAGATAAAAACCTGACCCAGGCCCCGCCAGCAGCATTGCTTCATGACATCGATCTCACAGCATCTGTGACACCTGAGGGAGAGGATGCAGCCGCCTCAAAGCCAAAACAAGTAACTTTCTTTGACAGGATCTTCAAACTGGAGAAGGGAAAGGAAAGGAGTAAAACACAAATTGATACCCAGGAGGAAAGGCAGACTTCAGACCTTCCTGACGGGCTCACCACAGCGAAGGAGGCTACTGGATTACGGAGCACATCAAACAGCATCCCACAGGGGAAGGCAAGTGCTTGAATAGGAATATCCATTTCACTCTTAATGAAACCTCTTAGGAATATTAATAGTGCAGGAGAACTTAGTGTCATGATGGCTGTGTGAATGGATCAGTTTTGCTCTTAAAAATTATTACAGGTAATGACCCGAAGGGTTGGCTGAACAGAGTTGTATGGGAGAAGAACCTATGGTGGAGTGGTAATAGCTTTGATGTTTGCCTCATCACTAAATGCTGGCATCTGACCTAGGGTTTAAGCTCATTTGTATTTCTCTGAAAGGTTTGGGCAAGATAGTTGAGTTGATGCTCCAGTTGCCAGGATGATGAACAGCAGCTAGTTACAAATGAAAGCAAAAATACCTGAAAGTAAAATTGTTGCTTCTGTTTTTGGAGCTCGGCGTTTGACCCTGGATAGTTTTAAAGAAATTCTTTAGCACTTTTTTGCCATTCTTATAAATTAGTTGCTGCTCTTGACCAATAGCTACTTGATCCATACCCTACATATCAGAATAAGGCATATCACACAATAGCAATTTTTTTCAGTATTGGCTATTGTGATTTTTTTTTTTAGTCAAGGAAATGTAGTCCTTAGAATTGATTTTACAGGATGAGAATATAAGAATTAACTTACCTGAGAAAGCACACTAATTCAAAGAAATGAGCTGAAAACAGATGAGTTTAGATTTTACATGTCCCACAGTTTGATATTGGCAAATATATTATAGGATTAATTAATCAGGTAATTAACTACTGAAAAAGTCCTTCCCCTGGATGGGGATAAGTAGCCTAACTCTTACTAGTTCCACTGGAGAGGTGCCAGTATGTGTTACCTGGTGAACTAGCTCAAATCCTGTCCAATGTCAGGAACAGGAGGGAGAAACTAGCTGTACCACCTCCTCATCAGAATCTGTGTAAATGCCATTTTAGTAATAACTGCTTTTATCAGCCTCATTCAGGTTTTCAAATGCTGTATGATTGCTAATGTGTTGAACAGAGATGCTCACTGTGTACTGATGAAGATGCAGCTTGTCCCCAAACATCTCTTCAATTTCTGTTCTTCTACCTTATCCATCTTATGCTTCCTCTAATTGGAATATTACATTTCTTGTATAAACTTGTAAATTGAAATATTTTTCTGAAGATTAATTTGTAAGACTAACCAGTTGCATTTTTGACCACTGCCCTTCAAAAGTGGCACCCACCACTAGTATTTCAGACATCTATATGTGTGCATTGAAAGAGTCCGTAGTCTCAACTGAGCAGAATATCAAGTCATTCACTGCATAAACAGAAGGGGGTGAATAATTCAGAATAAATAATCTATTCAGTGCCTACTGGCACTTCTGTTTGTAGCTTATAAAACTGAAACTTTTCAACATTGTAAATTCCTGCAGATATTTTTGACTTGCACACAAAGAACTTTTGCCTGTGGCTCATAAGAATTGTTACTTTTAAAATCAGCTGCAAAATTTGTAATTTCCTATTTTGCTGTGATTGCAAACTACAGAGTGTGAAAGGTCACAGTTGTGCTGTTGAAGTAGTGCAGTGTGAAGCTCTCTATCATGAAATAGTAATCTGAAGTAGCTTTAACCAGCTTTAAACATTTGTTGGTCGTAAATAGTCATGTTGGGAAAGCTCAAGTAAACTAAATCTTAATCTGCTAGTTTGAACAGATACTAGATGCTCTGTTCATTCAGATCAAGCTTTTTTATGCCAATATGGCCTTATTCATTCTGAATTCTTATTCATTTTAATTTCTGTTCATGTCTTCATCTTACACCTATCCACATCCTGAAACTCATTAATGAGAATCATCTGGAAATCCCAGACAATCCTCAACTGGAGGTTATATGTGTAAGTGTTTGCAGGATCCCAGCCTACACATCAGCTTTTTGGTGCCTGAGGACCTGCCTGAGGACAGGTCTCCCATTTAACAGAACTGCATGTACATCTTTTACATGTCTGTTTAAAGCTGTACCACCAAAAACATTTGAGGACTCACAAAATCCAGGGTCAAGTTGCTGAGGGTAAATGACAGTGGCAGAACTGTGTCACAGGGAGAGTGAAATTTTAACCTTACCCTTGAATTTATGGACTGTAATTTTTGTCTTTGAGTATGAAAAAGAATGTAAGTTTGGGGAAGAGAGGCGTTAAGGACATTTTCTGGCAAAAATATATCCAGCTTACACTTCTTATATGTTGCAAAACTTGCTTTAACTCCATTTCTGAAGCAAAGGCTGTGGCTCTGCCTTGCAGCACACTTGCCCTCTGTTCCCTCTCAAGTTGCTAGTTCTCGCGTAGGACGGGAGAATGACCAAGTCTACTTTAACTGCTGTTACTGTAGTAACTACAAACTGTTACCAAGTAATTGTACTAAAAATCTAGATATTGCTGTCAGCAGTTTTGGTTTGGGGTTTTTTGGGGTGGATTATGACTTACAGTATCTGTGAAAGCTAAAAGCAAAGCAAAGTTTCCCTGAATTGAGTGCCAACACAAAACAAACAACATTGCTGGTAAGTAAGAGAGAGGCTCCACAGTTGTAGCTTAAGAGCTGCACAAACATTCTGTGTTTGGTGAACCACTCTTTATTTTTGTGGTCTACAAAACTACATTCAGAACACAGCATAATTAAAACAAGGACAGAATTCATGAATTCATGAAGCATTTACTATGTAAGCCAAAGAAAAGATAAATTATATGCCTGAAATGTTTCACTGAGCCATGATTCATACAAACAAAAGTGCTGGCAGGAATATATTCTTTTGATATGTTTTTCTAATGACTGAACTGAAACTACAGTCTAAGTATTTAAGGTGTTTATTGCCCTCAAATTTGGCTCCCCAAAGAAATGAATTGAACATTTACACAGTATCTGTTAACTTCTAATACTGACTGGCTACTTTTACTCCTAGAGTTTTCTTTCATTATTTGCCTCTGGGGCTTTGTGCAGCACATTATGCAATGAGTACTACTGGGGTTTTGTGATTTATTTTTTTTTTACTATGGCTCTGAAAATGTGATATTGTAGAAATCCATATTATCTCTCCATGATTTATATGTTGATGGCATGAGTTGGTTCTCCTTCCTACAGCAGTATTCCCACAAAATCACAAGCTGGATCATGGCACCTATCAAAGTCCAGATTTGAGTTGTATCTCTATAGTGAAGGGTAGCCTTGGCTTGGGCATCCCGGCGTAGGGTTCCTCATGCAGTAGTGGGTCATTATGGGGACCATGTGTGCTCTGCAAGTTGAAGTTCAGGGATTTTTGGATGGTTTTGTGCCTCAAGCTCTTTATGGTCTGCAATAGCTTTCACATCTGTAAGACAGTGTGGCTTTAGCAGGGAGATACCCTGGAACATCTGGTGCTGCCAGTGGTGGTACGTGTTGCCTCCACAGCTGTCCCAGGTGGCATCTGCTGCTGATAACAGCTGCATTAGCTCAGTGCTGAGCAAAAAGATCCCTTCATCCTAAACAGCACACAGCCCAGCAGCAGAGCTTGGACTTGTGTGTGTAAAAACTAGTCTGCTTATTTCTGTTTGGTAACATCATGTAGTGAAGAGCTTGATAGTGTCAAATTAAGCTAGTTTCATTTAGCAACGCATCTTCTGCATCTTGCTTCTTTGGATTCCTGCTTCGTGCCTTTGTTGCCCCTTTAATATCTGAAATAGAGCCAGCATTTTTCATATGACCAGAGCTCTTTAGATGGCATCCCTGGAAGCAGGGCTGCTGAAGCTGGCATGGCCACGCATGTTCTGCATGGGACATATTGTTCTTGGAGCCACTCTGACCTGTAACTGGCAGCTGGACAAAGTAGCGTGTTAGACCCTTGCAAACAACTTCTGAATAGCTTGTTGAAGCACTCTGAACTACTGTGCTGTGTTTCTTCCTGGGTAAACTTGGAAAATGGTGGGTGGGGAATTAAAGAAGTCTGTTCTTGCAAATAAACCTCGTGTATTTTAACTCCTTAAATGCTGCATGGAGACCAGCTGCTCCATGCTCATTTTTCTTGATGCCAAATTAGCTCTCTGAAGTTTTAACTCCTTTATGCACCTCTAGTTTGCTCCTTCATTTAGCCACCTACAGAAATGTATGTCCTCTGCAAAACCTATACAAATATTTTTAAACCTCCTGGTACACAGAAAGGTTCTCAAGAGTACAATTTAAAATTTTCCTATTAAAAATGGTTCAAAGCAAAAGTGGCCAGTATTGCAGGCAAATTCAGTGTAAAAGGGAGCCAAGCTCTCCAAAACTGGCCTAAGAGGAGAGGTGTTTGGGTTTGGTTTTTTTTTAAAAAACCAAACAGACCCTTGGTTGGGTGTCTAAACAGAAACTGAGTAACTTAAGAATATTACATACTTACAAATGCTGGAGCACTGGAAAACTATTTTTAGACTCTGGGAACTGTAATTCCAGGAAGAGAGGAGGCAGCTCCATCTGACTTGGAAGAATTACTTTGGGTTGTTGCTTTTTTCATTCTTTAGTCTGTACTGTATTTGTGTTTTCTAGATAAAAAAAATATTTCTGGAATTGCAGAATACAGAGTATCGGAAGCGACCTTTGTGTGGTACAATCGGACACTGAGCCATCAAAGGCCAAAATCTCAGCGTTTGTTCCTATTAACAAGTTCAGCCTTGGAAAGAGAAAAGCAGTGTTGTTTGGGATGCTGCATGCAACTTTACTTGTATTTGTTATACTTGGTAGCTGAGAACAATGTTCCTCCAACCAGTGGCGAATGCTGAATATATTAGAAAAGAGGGGAAAGATGTATAAATGCTTGATTGTTCTGAATACGTAGGCTGGAGAACTATGTTTGGAATTAGGGTTGTGACTCTCAGAGCAACATAATGCAAGTCACAAATGTTACTTTTGCATTCCACTGGAAATTAAGCAAGCTAGAACCGAGGAAACTCTGCCCCCTTATTTTTAGGAGATAGATGACTGCAACCGAAAAGACCTACGGCAGGACTCAGCAGGTGTCAACAGTCTCACTGCTGAGCAACCTGAAAAGGCAGAGGTAAACCAAGACAACCCTCAACCAGCTACTGCAGTAGACAACTCCGTCATGAGTTTCCTTAAAACACTGGTAAGGTTTTGCCTTTTCTTTTCATCTCTAGGCTATGCTTTAAATTGCTTATAAAAATCCCATGTAGACATGTGGAACTAAACGTAGCATGTTGGCTGTCACGGGCACTGGGAAGTAATGAAGCCAAACGGATGCCTTGGCAAATTGCTTGAGAGTGATAGAGATGTGTAGGTATAGTGCAGTCAAATGATGATGACCTACTACGGAAACTTCCTCTTCTGCACAGGTACTTGTAGACCTGGAGATATTTAACTGTCTTAAGGACTTTCTGCATGATGAAACTTTATTTTGTAATATTGATAAATGTTCACGTTTATGGATTAATTGGATGCATAAACTTTAATATCTTTAGTCCAAATATTATTCATTTTAGCCATTGTCTTTTAAGTTGTCCTCAAGAAACACATTATAAATTTTCCCACATGGGGAGGAAAGATATATCTGTATTTCTTTCACCTTTGTGCTAGAAAAAACTGCTAATTTCAAAAAGATCTTCTGAAAGACTGAGTTGGGTGTGACTATTTGTTTTTTCTCAAATATATTTAAGGTCTCCCCAGGCAAAGCTGAAGCCAAAACTGATTCAGAAGAAAAGGTAGGTAGATTCCTCATTCTGTCATTGATCACTAGAGGTTTTTTGACATGGGTATTTCCTTTTCATTGTTGTTTTTTTCAATTGATATTATCATTTGAAGTAATTAAAAATATTTTTCCTCTGTATAAATTTGAAAGGAAGCTGAGCATAAACAGTGCAATTCTTCATATCATACATTACAATCAAGATCTGAACTGTAGCATTTCTTGCAAGATTGATAATGACCTAGTAATGCTTTTGGTTGTTACTCTGACTTGTCCTTGATCTAAAACCACACGTCCCTGCAGTGAAATCCTCCTGAGTCCACAGAAAACTCCATTTGCTCATAGAGCTGTGCAAAGCTTCTGGTTTTTTTCATTTCCAGTTGTTTCCTTTATCTCTCTCACCTGCTGGAGCTGCCATGTCCTGGTGGGGAGGACACATGAGGTCCCCCTGACTGTGGCAGCCCTGTGGTTGGGTGGGCAGGGTGGAGGCAGGAGCCTGCTCCCCCCAATCTTGCCCTGTGGTGCTTCCACAGCTACTGCTGGGTCCTGCCTTGGGGTGCAGGAGGATGGGCAAAGATCAGCTTCCCACTGAAATCAATAAAAAGCAGAAGGAGATCCCAGCACTTCCTTTCTGGGACTCTTCTGGCTGGAGCACCTCTGTATGGACTGTGCTGCAGTCAGATCTGATGTGTTGATCCTATGCAGCAGCTAAAACCTCAGGAAGATGATCATAGAATCATAGAATTGTTTTGGTTGGAAAAGCTCTTTAAGATCATAGAGTCCAACCATAAACCTAACACTGCCAAGTCCACCAGTAAACCATGTCCCTAAGCACCACATCTACATGTCTTGCAAATACCTCCAGGGATGGTGACTCCACCATTGCTCTGAGCAGCCTGATGAAGTTGTGCTGGGCAGGACTGGGACTTGCAGGGAGAGCTGTACTACCCTGACTGCTCTGAATGCTTCACTTTAGGTGCAGAGATGAGGATCAGGAGTTGCTTTAAGTGGGGTGACTAAAATACTCAAGTGTGTGTGTGTGATGTTCCCACCAGGACCTGAAATCTGTATTGGCTGGACAGGTACAGAATCAGTCTGAGAAATGCTCCTCTGTGTTAATGGGCAGATGTGACTCCTTTCCTTTTAGCAAACCATTTGTTCTTGGCTTCCACTGGCAAGAGGAAACTTGGGTTTAGTATCCATGAGCACTGATGGTCCTTTATATGTGAATTCAGACAAGCTTCTTTATCTTTTATTTGTTTTTAGAGACATCAAAAATATCCAATTGATCTAATGTATTAGACATTAAAGGAGAAAAAAAACAATGGGGAAAAATATAAACTGTAAAATATTTAAGTTGAAAACAATCTTTTAAAATGGAAAAAAGTAGATGTTCAAAGAATCCTTTCCCCTTTTTTCCTGCTAAGTTAGTGCCAAAACTTGCAATAGTTTCAACAGAAGCAGAACTGAGATGATTTGTATTAAGCTACTTTCTATCTTCTGGTGTTGTAGTGGCCTACAGGCACATCACTGTCTGAATAACTGGGAATTTCCAGATTAAATGTCTTTACATGTTATGACTATAAAACTAAAGCTTTTCTTGCAGTGTCTGTGATAAAATTTAATTAATGCATAAAGAATAAAACCCAGTTTTAGACCACACAACTATTATATAACCAAAATCACAATTGGCATCAACATTTTTGTTTTCATCCCTTTTTTTAATCCTTTTTGCCCAATTCAATTTTTATATAGCCTGGTACTAAGATGGTGAATTCAGTCTTTCCAGAAAGCCTGGTGAGTACATGGGGGATACACATCACTTCCTGATTATAGACCAATAAATCTGGAAATCATCAACCAGGACATCCAGAAGCTGCAGCTATCAAATTGCACTGTTTCAGTGAGACCTGTAGCTCTTTCAACAACTTCTGAAAAATCCAGTTGTTCAGTCCTGTTTGTGTACCTGACTTCATCAAACGCACCCATGTGCTTCTAGAGCAGGTGACTGGTGCGGGCGTACTGTAATTTGGAAACAAATATGCTGTTTGGGTTTGGTTTGCTATCACACCTGTGAGGGTAAACAAATCCAGATGATCAGCAGGATATGCAAACTCATTATACAGAGGTTAAATGGGAGTTGGTTTTTATGAAGAATTCCTTTATCTTCACTAGTGTTTTCCTGTTACAAAGAATGACACTTTCACTATTTTAAAGGAAAAAAATATGGTAAAAAGGTTAACTGCCATAAAGAAAAGCTGCAGATGTTACCACTGATACATGTAATTAAATAATGGCCATTTTTCCCCTGAGAATAACTTCTGTTTTCATGGTAAAGGTATGTTCTTAAGTGAAGCTTTCCCCTTCGTGCAGTCTGAGCCTCTCCTGAGTGCCGTGGGGCTTTTATGTTGTTTGGTTGGCACAGTCATCATTGTGTCTTTGACCTGGTTGCACTTAAATCTTGGCTGCTCGTGCACCCTCTTAGTAGGAGTTTCATCACATGAGGGCTGATCCGTTCCCAGTGTCTCCTGGCAGTGCTCTCCCATGGCTAAGAGGACAGTCAAGCTTTCTCATAAACACCTACAGCCCACTTCAGCTTTGAATAGCAAAGCAGGGCAGTGTACTCCCTCATGCTGAAACAGAGGTGTGCAGCATCAGCCAAGCTGAACTCGGTATGTTTGTAGCCACATGCTGTCATCAGCAATGCCTCCGGCTTTAATCAGCTGGCTAAAGGCATGTGTGCTTTCAGCAGCCTGGGCACACCCTCAATGGTTGTCATTTCATCCGTGTAAACACAAGAGTTTAAGGTGAGTTGAGTCATACTTCCTTGGATTAGTTGATCCTTTGCAAGTTTATACTAACCAACACGGCATTCAGATCAGATCTGCCCCAGATCATCTCTTAGACCCTTCCATAGCAGATCCTGACTTGTTCCTGCATCACTGCATGTTTGGGAATACTGGGAATGGCACAGAGTACAGCATGGAAAACTGGCCAATTTTGATGTGACTGGCCACAGGCTCTTTGTAGTACAAAGCCTTTTGTGGGAAGGACTTTGTAATTGCACTGAATGAAACAATCTTGAGATCAAGATCTCTACTCAGATTTGTTACATGCTATTCTTTGGACATTTCCTCCTACCCTATTAGTTGTGGTCAACCACAGTCCTTGATAGTTCCCGTTGTAAATACTGTAGGCTGCATCTTTGGAGTTTGGGTCTCCATATTTCCATAGTTCCTAGAAAATTGTCAGCTCATTTTGAAGCTTTTTACTAAGTTGGGAGCTTTTATTTTTATCTTGTTCAATGTAAAAGAAAACTGAACAAAGATTGTAAGGCTAATTACACAGAGGGTGAACACTTGAGTGAGTTTTCATTTAAATATAACTTTAAAAGTTTGTGTTTCTTCACTATATATTGGTCTGATTCTTAATTAAATCGGGAACTAAATTGCTTAAGGGGGAATGAAATCCAGAATACTAGCAAGTAGTAAGTAAAAGAAATATGTTCTCCTTTATACTAGGTAATCAAGGGATCTTACTGCTTTAAAATCTGACACTGAGATATTGAAGAGTGAAGAATGCAGCCCCATGTTATTTGTAATTAGTTGTATTATGGGTATACATACAGGGCAGTCACCGTAGAACATTCTCGTGTTGACTTGTTTGCATGTTGAAGCTCAGTAAAACAACCTTGGAAACTTATGGCTTTGTGTCCCCCTCTGTTTTTGTTATTGAAAAGGTGAAAATGATGGGGAGAGAAGGAAAAAATCTTACTGTTCCTAACAGGGAAACTTAGGTTTTTTTCTTCCACTGATAAATCCAGAGGGTTGTGTTGAAGATTGGTGGGGAAGAAACTTGAAGAGAGAAATTTTGAAGATGTTCTTGAATTTGGACATGTGTTTTTTCAATGCTGTGGAAAGTTTAAATGGAACATTTTAGCAAATTTCATGCAAATTTTCCCAAGACTTTTCTACAAGTCATGTATTTGAACAGGCCTACCTCTACACTATGCAGGGTAACTTATTCTGCATTGAGCTGCATGCAGTCTTTTAAGAATACCCTGATACTGCTTTTTGCATCTAGATATCAATATTTTTTCTTTAATTTACATCCCTTTGTAGTTGATTTTTTCAGTGTACTGTCCAGATTTTGAGCGACCCAGGCTCTGATGTCAGTGGGCAATGATTCCCAAAACAAGAGCCTTCTGCAGACGTTTACAATGGAATGAAAAGGCAGCAATGCTTTCTGATTCAATGTTTTTAGTATCAGTCTATCATTAATATTTTTCTAATAGTTTTATTTCTAACTTATTTCATGAACATTAGGGCAAATTTGGAATATTTTATGTACCATATATCATGAATATTCATACTACCCTTTTCCTAAATAATGCATTATGCAAAACATTTTAAAGTCTCTATAATACTACAATAAAAAGAATTAAGGCATTTTCAAAGATTTATATGTCTGCCTATTCTAAACTTATAAATCCCAAATTCAGTTTGTTACTCATGAATTTGAAATACAGAAGTCTCAGTCTTTGAGATTTGTATCTAAACTGCATGAAGAATTTGCAGGGGAAAATTGTGGGTTAGTTTTGAGACAGGATTGCCCTAGCTTTTATATTTATTTCCATACTCACGTGAAAGAAAGTCCAAGGAAAACTGAGTAATCACTCAGAAGAAAACATAATTTGTTGTCTAGGGGGAAAAAGGAAATGTTTGTTTTGAATACTACATGTGTGAGTGTTTGGATGTTTTTCATGAATTAAATAAGAACTTTGCAGTATGTACTGAACTTTGAATGCTGTTGTACAAAGGGATCGAAAGCAGAAAAAGGCCATGGTGGGCAACCTGCTCTGAAGACAGCTGCGGAATCCCAAACTAAAGGAGCCAAGAAAAAGAAGGCAGAGAGTCCCAAACTAGGACACAGTACATTTAGTAAACTCTTTAGGCATAAGGTCTGTATGAAACTCTAGCAAGAGCAGAACCCTGAGCAGTAACAGATGGCTCCTGTCACAGAGAGAAGTTATTTAATTGGTAATTGAAATAAGCATCTGGCCAAATGTGTGGTGCTGCAAAAACTACTGGTGTGAGCACTTGTGCTGTGCATTGTGGAAACAATCTTCATCTGCAATGTTCCTCTTGTTATACCATCTGTGAATTCAGGATTCTGAAACAATTCCTCTAACCTTCCCTGCTACGTGCTTCCCAGTTACTTACTAACACTGCCTAAACTTCCCTGGCCACTTAAAATAACAATAAAATAAAAGGTACTGACAAACAGTGAGTTATACAGATATGAACAGTGCCTGCAATTGTAGGACAGGTTTAAGAGCTCAGTTTAACTATAATTAAGGCTTTATGATCCACATTGCCTTAACATGCATTGTCAGGTGGTTAAAATTGGTGAAGCGGTGAACTGGGGCATCTGATCTGGCACAGCAAAGGTTGGAACATTGACTTTCCTTTGGAAATAGTTACTTTTCACTGAAAACAAGAAAAGTAATTGTTAATTGAATTCAAAGTTTAGTTTGGATGGAAAAAGTTTGGTTTTCAAGGATGCTTTAAAGTTGTAAAAAATACCTACTTTTTGTGCAAATGGTGGTTTTAGGCTACATTAGCTTTTTTCAGTGATTTTTTTTTACAATAACTTTTAATCAGCTTTGCTGTTGAGTTCTATATTTGGGCATTTCTGCATTCTCTGAAGAAGATATTCTGCCATGATGTTCTGTGGCAGGGAAGTGGAGAATTGTAGCTTTTTATCCCAAAGAATGAAGAAGCAGAGACCCTTCCACTGGGGGAGGAAAGTAATTAATATTTAATGCTCACTCAAAACACCCACATGGAATTTCTGGTGAGTAGGGGGCTTTATAATCAAGGGCACAAGGCAAAGGGAGTTCTTTAAAATATCTTTCAAAACAAAAGTGTTCTTTCCACTGTCTCATTTTTGAGATAAAAATGTCATCTGCATCTTACTGAAGGAATAATAGTATTCCCAGTTTTAAGCTGGCAGCAAGAACTGTAGACTTAAAGTTAAGATCTCATTTTGTATATGCTACATTGATAGCTAATATTTTTTGTATTTAATAGTTAAAATAATAATTAATTACATAATGAATTAGGGCTTCCTGGTAAAAAAAAAAACCCATACCTGGCAAGTATCTTTTAAGGTTCTAAGTACTCTTCTATAATGGTTCAAAATCTCGCAAAGAGTTGTTGGGAGAAATGATTGGTTTTCATAGCGCTGTTTGAGAGCATTTTAAAGACTTTTGGTCTGGAATGAAAGCAGTTATCTTGAAGGAATGCATCAGCACTGAATTTTTACGCCAGTAAAATCTGTCTTATAAAATGCCATTACTTTTTAAGTAGCTTTTTCTTGTTTCTAAGCTTATTTTCACAGCTTTTGTTCCACATATAAAATACAGAAGCAATTAGTGGGATATCATTTATGATGTATTGAGAACAAAGGTAATGGATTAAAATGGTGCCTATAGTTTGCTTGTAAGGCTGATTGAAAGTGGAAATTCAAATCATGGCAGTGATGTGACAGGCAAGCCCTGAAGTTATCACCTCTAGTAAGAAAAAAGTTCTGTTTATCTCCCTTCATTTGAAATGCCTTAGCAGGATGTGTCAACTAGATTAATAGGTAATTAATTCCTTTATTTGAAATGATAATTTTAATATATGTACTAATATTTAAGCACTTCACTCTCTTTTGAAATTCATACTCTACAATTCTTCCAAAATGCACTTCTCAGTACTTTAGTTAAGAAAAATATTTACTATTAGATTAGCAAACATTGTTTTTCAGTGTCCTGTGTTTACATAAATACTAAATTTAAAGCAACTTATTAAAGTTGTTTTCAAACAGCAATGTGCATCTTAATAAATCTGTAACACAAGCTGATGCGATGGGATTTGGCTGTTTGACCTCAAAGACTGAGTTTGACAGCTGGGTCCCTGTCAGTTCTTTTATTCCCATCCACATGTATTTACCTTGCATGCCAGTTTTGCAGAATAACTGTACTGATTTGTGGGAATTTGACTTGGAAGGGTTAATCACTTATTTTTAACATTACTCCTGAAGCCAGCTCATGGCATTACATTACTTTTTACCACTTGCTCTGTATCTTGTTCATTAGAGCTAACAACAAAAAAGTTCTTGGCTCCTGCAAAATACCTCTCACCTATTGTTTCAAGAAATCTGCAAAGCATGTGGCAGGCTGCCCAAACCCAGGGGTGCTGGGCTCCTGTTTGAGTTTGCAGCTTGCTTCTCTTTGTACAGCTCAGATAATCAAACTAAGCTGGATGTTAGGATCAATAGATACTGATAGGTATCACTGGCCAGAAAGGAGTTTAACAAACTGGATCCCTCCTGGCTTTGTGTATTTTGATGAAACCAGGAGATCTGTCACTGAATTACTTTTTTACAAAAAAGTAAATCCCACCTAATACATAAAAATGTGGGTGGATGGACTAAACCCACCCCCAGCACCTGCAGAGCTTTTCTTTGTAGAGCTGCAACGCCTGCTTCTAAGTTATAAAGCCACTGCTGTTCTGTGCCCTTCGTTTCCAGGCAGTCATCTGCCTGTGTTTTGTATCCCAGAAAGCAAAGCCTCCTGCTTTGAAGGTGATGTTAGCATGTCCCTGACTGGTATGCAATTCCCCAATGGAAAAGACCCAGCTCTGGCTTGTACATGGGCACTGAAAGTTGCATGTGCAGACCCAGCTCAGAAAAAAACTCTGCTAATATCTTAAAGCCCCGTGTACTCTCTTACCTGAAGAAACTGGGAATGTGTATGTAAATGCACGTATTTTTAAAGAATGGTAAGCACAGTAGTATGAGTACAAAGCAATTTGACAGAAGGCTGCAATGCTTCTGCAGGTAGAGGGATGGGAGCTGGAGCTGGTAGCCCCTTCAGGCAGCCTCGCCTCTGCCAGAGATCAGTTTCCATGGTTGCAGGAGCCAGGACTTGCACAAACATTCACTAAAAATAAAATAATTTGTGACACAGACAATTCCTGAACTGTGTAACTGTGAGCAGTGATGTTGCCAGAGACAGACTTGTCTTTGTGTTTTGTTTCCCTTCAGGCTGCAAAAGAGACCCAACAGACAACTAATACCAAAGTGAGTAGGATGACTCAAGTTATCTGTATGAATAACACAGTCAAAGGGTAATTATTCTCGCTGTCGTTTTCAGTCTCAAATACATTGTTTTAATTTCTTAATCAATTAATCATCTCTGTTATGAAGGGTGGGTTGCTATGTAATTTGCTTTCTCTGTTGAAGACATTACTTCATTTGAAAGGATGAGGATGCAGCTCACAAGCTGCACCTTGTTGCTTGGTGTGTCCTGTGCAATGGTCATCCAATGTACACTCACCTCTTGTACCAGCTGATGCCTGAACATGCTGCGAGTATCTTGTCCTTCACACATTTCTAATAGCCCATGTGTTCATGTTTCTTTCTAGAGCACTGAACAGCAGCTTGTTACCTCTGTAAAATCAGACAAAAATGTTCCCTCCTCTCAAGAGCCGCAGACAACAAAGCAGAATACAAAAGCCCCCGAGCCTGCAGCCCAACAGCAGGCAGCAGCCACCGAAGCCCCCAAAGAGGTGACAAAGGAGAAAACGTCATCCACTCCTATGCCACTGAGCAAGCTCTTTTGGAAAAAGGTACATCTGGATTTCAGAGCTGGTCTATCCCACAGCTCCATCCTCACCAGTGTCTAGAGTTATTGCTAAGCACAGTTAAAGTGGTCAGTTCTGCAGAGTTGAGCATGTCCCACATGCAAAATGCATGAGGGGCATAAATGATATGTGCAGTTACAAATATGTACTTGAGCTTTCACATACACACGTGGCTAATAATGGCAGTTAGACTCCTATAGAAGAATCTCACAAAATCTGTATTCTTTTAAAACTGTATGTACTAATTTTTGAATGATACCATGGAAGAAGGAATATTATTCTGTCAATTCAACAAGCTTGTTAAAAACCCTACAGAGATTACAGTATTCCTTACCAAATTATATCATTAGTAGAGATACAGCTATAAAAACACATTTTGTTTTTATGAGAACTGTTTAATTTAGTTCTAAACATCTGAAAACCTGGAGTCTGGTGGGTTTATTCTTACTCAGAAAATGTTTCATAGCAGAGTGGATCAGTCTTTAAGTTTGGGGTTTGAGATGGATTGCTTGGGAAGATGTATTTTTCCTCAGATTAAATAACAATTTTAACTAAAATTAGGACTAACTTTGAAAACGTGGTTCCTGTTTCCATGATCCTCAGTGGTTTATAAGCTGAAGGCTTATTCTTTTCTCATCTCATTTAAGAGAAGAGCTGTATTAAACTTTACTGAATCACTATATGTTAATAACTGCTTTTCTGGGCTTCTGTTCAAGTTCAAATCCCAGAAATGAACTGCTTCCAAACACACAGATGCTGCCTGAGTGCTGAGCCCTGCAGCTTCTTTAGCTCTATTTTCCCATACTGGGCAGTGATACTGGAGATACAGTTTGGGTATGTTATATTAAAAAAAAAAAAAAAAAAGAGGTGTTAAGATATTTACAGAGTCAACATGCTTGAAAACAATCTAAGTTTGAAATATTTGTTACTTGGGACTTAATTTCCTGTGGAGCTGGGTGAATCAGGTACTTAGAATGAAAGTTGAAGAAGGAGAGGGAGGGGGTTTTTTTATATAGTTGTTATTGCTACGGACACCTCCTCTGTCTGAGTAGTCTGGCTTATTTGAAAAGAGAGATGGGAAGCAGGATGTATGCTGAACATCAGGATGAAATAAGGAAAAAAAAAAGGCCTTCTGGCAGACAGTTGTAGGCAGTTTCAGTGCAAAACTGAGAGTAATAAACTTGAAGTTCATTGTTTTCATAATGAAGTAATAAGGCCTTTTGTGTATTTGAGAAAGAATGAAAAATCTCATAAGAAGGGAAAGTTTTCTTTCAGAAAAAGTGAAAAATTTGATCCTAAGGAGTTTTTTAAAAAAATCTGCCTGCTTGAGCATTGAGTCCTCACCTATAAAAGGCTGATGTTGCTTTACTGGATTTTCTTGACAGAGAATAATATTATATTTCCTTTGATGAAGACCTTGGTGACCCAGTCAGCTTGAAGCTTTAAAAAAAAGGATAGATTTTTTTTTTTAAAAAGTCCTTAGACTACAGGTTAGCCTCAAACTCAGCTTGGTTTGAGGATTCTGTCTTTTTTTTTTTTTTCCCCGCAGTGATTTTATCTTTCTTTTTGGCACCCTTAATGTACTGCCCTTTTGCTAGGATAGAAAATAAAAGCTAGAAACTGTTCCAAATAGGTTTATAATTCAGTCATGTGTAGTTTTTCCTTTTGAACTAAAAAATAGCAACCACAACACTCAATACATCCAGGATTCAGATCCAGCTTCTCCCTTTCCAGGCAGTCTTTCAAATATCTATCTTCTGATGAGCTTTCACTTCAAAGTACAGCTAATGAAGTGCCTGTCAACACATTGCAGTTAATGCTGCTGCTCTAACTACAGATTAATAAATATGTAAAAGAAAAAGAAATAAAACCTTTATTCAACTCCTCAGATGGAAACCACTTTGACTATATTTGTCCCATTTCCTGATCAGTCTCCACTAGATTTCTCATAACTGTTACTCAAATGCTTGTCATGCTAACATCTTTTTTATTATTAAATACTAAGGAATATCAGTAGAAAATAACAGTAATTTCACATGTTTGTGTTGGAAACTTGGTTTTCAAGGCCTTGTAGATATCTATCTGATCAGGGCAGAGAAACATGACGCTTCATTTATAACTGATCAAAGCATGTCAGTAAATGATGGAGGAAAGTGATTGAGGGAGTATTATTGAGATTGCTCTGTGAATTATCTTTAAAAGTGGATATATTTTTTTAAATACTAGAATTTTGCAATTCTGTTGCAATACAAAGGCAGAAAAACCATGCCCTTTATAGTGAGTGGTATTTATGCATTGATAATACAAACAGCAAACTGATTAGGTACCAAGTGAAGCAGAATAACACCTTTTATTGCTGACCCGGCAACCATACTCTGCCACAGGAAAGCAAAGATAAATATTTGGGTGGAGTGTGAGAGCTAAATGTTAAAGTTACCCAGGAATTATCACGTTCCCACATATTCCAGGACGGGAGCAGTTTACCACCTATGCAGCAGGAGATTCTGACTATTTATTTTTTTTTGCTGGATAAATGGATGAAGAAACTTGAAAGACAATTCCCCCGGTTGAGGGAGTGAGGAGGACAATAAGCAATGGGCTTTTGGGGGCCATTTCACAGCCTGACCACTGGCATAGCTGCCATCCTGACAGCAAGGAGGGTCCTCAACCAGTAAATAAACCAAATAGAATTTGTGAGTCTGAACCACATTTCTGAGCTGTTTAGTTTAAACCATAAGCTTCCAGTGGTTAATACTAATTAGCTAATAGTCTGAGCTGTTAATGGCTCAAGATCTGCTGAGTGGGACCTTCAGGCGACAGCTGCAGGTCACAGGGGGCTTTAGGGTGGAGATCCAGGAGCCCATTGACTGGCTAAATCTGAGCTACCTTAACTGCAGCAACCTCTGTCTTTGTGTTGGCAAAGGAGGGCAGGAAGGTGGGTTAAAGTCTCTCTAACCCTCTCTGCTTCCTGCCTGTGAGTCTGTGAGTGGCAGGAACAGATCTCAAGCATGACTGCTCTTTTAAGTGGAAATTTCTTGAGCAAAAGGTCATCTCTCATCTACATTGTTAAGATAAAAGCTGCTTCATAAAGAAGGTATGACCCAGGAAAAACAGAACTGTTCCTTGAGTCTAACGAAATGCAGTGGAGAGTGCCAGATCAGGCTCTAGCACAAGATCAAAGCAGGGTATAGTGTTTACCACAATTTTGAGGAAAGGTGCAGCAAGCAAAAGGAAAGCTCCTATCAAAATTATCCAGGTCACAAAATAAGTTACACTCTCATAAGGCAGTAATTTGTATGATCAGGAACCTAGATAAGAAAATGGTTCACCAAAACAATAGGGGAGAGAACCAGAAAGAGGACTCAAAACTTTCTACCACAACTGTTTTAAGTAAGTTTATTACTAGAAGAAAACTAGGGACACTGTCATTTAAAAGAGGGACGAATGCTTCCCAAACATAGTGAAGCAGGGAGCTTAGTAAAATACTCTTATCTCTACTGGTTGTGTTTTATAAATTAAAATATTCTTTTGAAAAAGAAAACAAATATATTTCTATAAGATGAAGAACAAAAGATGGAGCTCAACCTATTTCTTAAATATACCCTGAAATGTTTTCTTAGCTTGACAGAGTGCCTTTAAAAAAACAAACAAAAAACAAACCAAAAATAAAATAACCCAGTAGCTCTTATATCTCCATGCTGCATAACAGCAGCAGCTGCCAACTTAGGTTGAATTTATTACAATTTGTGTTTAAGGAAACTGGAGGCAGAATTTGGGCCCATGAATCCAGCAACCTCAGTTGATACAATTTATAGGTATAAGGTGACAATTTACATTTATGAGAACACTTAATGATTAAAGACTTATAAAGCTGATAGAGCTAGGCTGTTTGCAAATTATTTTTATATATAAACTGCATTTTACTCCAAAAACTAGTCACAAAATTCAATATAATTTTTTGTTTTCTCACAGATGAAGTGAAGAAACTGAGCCCATTGCTCTAGAGAACAGTTTAGGTTAATGTAACATCTTTCAAAGTTTATTGACTTTATCTTTGTCAGGCTTTTCCTATTATACTTTCAGTTCCTGTCAGAAACACCTTGGTGGTTCTCTTGAATGCACGAATGGAAAATTTTCTTCTAGTTTCCTACAGGGAACAGAAACAAAATTTAAAAGCTCTGTTCTTAAAAGGATGTCAGAGAACCTTCTTAGGTGGAAGGGAATTTCCTCTCTACTGAAAGACCATGCAGAGGCATTCTTTACAGCTCTGAAGTACACGATATATCATGGTCACGTGTCATCAGTCTCCAAGAATCTACCACCTTGGTCAGTCTTATTTAAGGTGCTTTTGTGATGTCTCTAGAATTTGCTTTTGTCGCAACACATCTGAATACTCTGATCTGATTGCACAGAAGTTGTGGAATCTCCAGCCTTGGAGATACTGAAAGCTCAACTTGATAAGCTCCTCAGCAAACTGATGAGACTCCTGCTTTCAGTAGGAGATTGGACTAGCCATCCAGAGATATCTTTGAGATTGCAAAATCATAAAATAATATATTTAGCATCATTTAATTCAGTCTTACAGAGTGAGATGGGTATACCAGAAAGATTCCTGGCGATAATTACAAGAATCATAAGGTTTTTTTTTAATCGCAAGCTGAAGATCTCGAACAAGATAACCTGTAATTTCTTCAGTAACTCTGATATGTCTAATGGAGTTCCAAATTTAAGTAACTGTGTAGGTATATAGGATAGCTAAGTTAAAAAAAAAAAAGATATAGTAAAGCAGGATTTCAACTTTCCTAAAGCATCCTATGGAATCCATCAAGAAATGTACAAAAATTCACTGATTAAACAAATCAATCTCTCTGAATAATTGACTATCACTTAGCTCTTTTCTTTATTCAAATAGACAGTGCTTTTCAGAGTTTAGCATTTTGCCCCAGGATACATTTGTTATCAGTAGTGACACTAATGCCATTGCATAGACATAACTTGAGAGACAAAACCCATTTGGGTTGCAGCTGTAACAGCGTAGCAGCAATATGATCCCAAGCCGTAATCTTTGAATGATGAGCTCCCAGAAGCTAGGTTGCTGCTTTATTGAGCCACTGTTTCCACTCGTGCAATGAATAATTTCCTTCAAGCAAATAGATGGTGAATTGATTATATGTATGTGTGAATAGGCAGAAATATAGATTAAAATTATTATAGATTGATTATCTTAAAAGTGTTCATAAATATAAATTAAATCTACAATTCCACGGGGAAGCAGACTGTGCTGCAGTCATGTCAGGCAGCATGGGAGGAGTATTTATTCCTTCATCATTCTTCCCCCCCCCAAAAAAATGTTCATTTCTTTCACAAAAGGAGTACAGAACAAAGCAAAATCTCTCATGCTGATGTAGACATCCATGGTGGGTCCCCATCTTGCATGTGGGGTCCACCCAATTCAAAAAGAATATGATCGAAATAAATGATATAATACTAAATGAGAGAAAAATGCATAAATATATTGAATGACTTCTTTATTAACAACAGCATAGATTAGGATATGTGTTTTTTGACTCAGAGAGGAGTTGTCGGAAAGGAAAATGACAGCAGCATACACAATGACTACTGTAACATGAACAGGAAAGATCAATCATTGCTCAAAATAAAAGCAGTAAAGTATCAAATAAAACTACTTGATGAAAAATAAAGTATTTCTCAGAAAAATAAAAAAAGAGCATACTTCAGCTGTAGAATTCTTTGCCACAGGATGCTGCTGGATGTCAGGAATTTATATCAACTCAGAAAATGTGTAGCTAAATTTCTGTAGGAAAAAATCCATCAAGGGCTATTAAAATAAAGATGCTACATGGAAATCACTGAGTTGAAGACAACTGGAAAAGTATGAGGACAATAGCACTGTAAGCTGCTACTGGAAGAGGCAACCTTTTTTCAGCACTCTGTGTCAGGATATGGGCTGGGGTGAATCTTTGGTACTGTCTTTTAAATTGTTCTCATGTTCACATAACTAAAATTAATTTAGTCGAAATAACTTTGAGTATGCATTACATGTAAGTTCTTGTAAGTACATGTAAAAAATTCTGAAATATAAATATTTGAGATTTATTTACATCAGTTCTTTCCTATAGTAACCATAGTATACATTTCAGCTGTAACTATGCTGTATCTTTAAGCAGCAGCATGTGTTGAAATGTGCAAGCCTAGGGTATCTGCGTCCATTTGATTCAGCATTGGAGGCTGAGGTTGCAACTTCTCCTGCTTTTATAATGTTTTTAAGGAAATGCATGTTCAGCCTCTGCCCAGCTGTGTCTCCACCTCCTACAGCAGAATTGTGCCTCCTGTTCTTGTATTCTGCTCTGCAGCCTTTGTTGTTCAACACATTGAGCATTCCTGGGATAGCCTTGAGAAGGCTGTGGGATCAGACATGCAGGAGATTAATCAATAAATCTTATGAGGATCTGTATTTCAGAGGAATTTACAAACCACATGCCTCTGGTTGAAGAATTATTATAATCTATTATAATAGAAGGAACTTTCCAGTAATTCATAAAAGCTCAGTGGGACCCAAAGGCCTTCTATAAAGGCAATGTTGCTGAGTACCCAGCAGTTTTTCTTAAACTTAAATGAGGGTCAGCACTATCAAAGAGAGTGACTGTGACCCATGAGATTAGGTGAATAGATGAGCTACTTAACTACCTTGTGCCTCAGAAAGTCATTTATATCTTGCAACTGGGAAGAGGACCTAACGTTGTGAACGGGACCAGCCTGAGATCGCTGTGGCTGGGACATTGCTCTTCACTGTTTCACTGAGGGTGCTAAACAGAGTTATAACAATTCATAAAGTCCATGGTGGGTTTTAATTACTTAATCCCATTCCTTTTGTGTGGCAAACTCCTGGGTGTGATCTTTCTTGTTTTTACTGATTTTACCTGAGTGTTATCTACACATGGCACATTCTACTGTGAGTGTAAGTGATTCTGTTTCAAGTTTTCTTTTTAAATCATAATCAAAGATAAAATACTGTGTTTGGGAACCAGTACTGCAATTCAAGAAAGGCTTTATCTTCAATTTAATCAAGGGCTTAAAATCCTAGCAGCTTATATTTTTTTATTGAATCAAGATAAATCAAATTCCTGAAGAAAGCTCTACAGATAGTGATGCTGAGAATGCTGTCCTGCCATGTTTGTTCATGAGGTACCAGCTTGTACTGCTGGAGCATTTGATTGTAACATCTTTAAAAACCCCAAAACTTCACTGATTAAGTCTGATTATATTTTTTTCTATTGTCTTAATATTTGCCCAAAACAACCCCAGAACGCATCGGAGAAAGCAGAGATCATAAGCAATGAGAAAGCAGATGCGTCTTTAGAAGCAGCAGCTCCTGACAAAGATGAGAGCAAGAGCCCAGAAGCTACAGAAGTGAAACCTAGAAGAGAAGAAAGTAAAACCCCCAAAGCAAACCTGAGGAAGTTCTTTAAACTGGTAAGAAAAATTTAAAAATTGTAAAAGTTAAGAGTTATGTGTTTGTTGCAAGCCTGGGGGTGGTAATTCTTCAAAGATTTTTATTTATTTTTTTTTTTTAATAAATGTCAGTAAGAGTGCGGGAGTGCAGCTGAGCCCATTTCAGAGGAGTGTTTGCCCTGGGCCCTGCAGCCCCGCTCCCACCCGTGTCATCACCCGCGTCCCCCCGCATTCCGCGTCCTGCACCCCCCTCTCGTGGTTCCTCCGGGAACAGCCCGCGGCCGCCGCAGCTCCCCGGACCCCGCGTTGGCCTTTTCCCGCACG